CGCGACTTCGTCTGCGTGGAATTTAACTTTATTTTTCTAAAATAAAAGTAGCCTAAGTTACTTCTTATTACATCAGCTCCTGCCAATACAAGTCCCGTGAAAATTGGTCCAGCCATTTCAGAGATTAGCCGAACAAACAGACAGACAGAAATTGTATCGGTCCAGCCATTTAGCCAGCGGTTTAGCCAACAAACAGACAGATAAAAATTGTGTTTTTGTTGTATGTACCGTATTATTAGGCTACTTTTATTTTAGAAAAAACTTTTTTTTTTTTAATATTAAGCTAAATTCCACGCGGACGAGGTCGCTAGTTCAGCTAGTACCTAATATAACTAAGTGTTATTTCAAATGACAGAGGTTTGTCGAGCCCTTGGGTCATGTCATTTGTTATATTTAGGGCAGAAAAAGTTGTCAGCGACACTCACTGATATTACGGGTACAAAAAGGGTTTTAGCAATGGAGTAATTTATATGGAACATCTTGCAAATTGGTAAAACATGGTTAAATCTAAATATATATAACTCAAATAGTGATCTATCAACGCACAGCCCAAACCACTGGACGGATCGGGCTGAAATTTTGCATACAGGTAGATGTTAGGACGTAGACATCCGCTAAGAAAGGATTTTGATTCATTCTACCCCCAAGGGGATAAAATAGAGAATGAAAGTTTGTATGAAACTTTGTCAATTTTAAACCGATCGGGCTGAGAGTTTGCATGCATAAAGCTACTATGACGTAGGCATTCCCTAAGAAAGGATATTGATAAATTCCACGCCTAAGGGGATAAATTAACGCGAGCGAAGCCGCGGGCAAAAGCTAGTTTTTAATAAATTTACGAATTGAGTTTCTTCTTTCTTCTTTTTCTTCGCAACTGAAGAAGGATGGTAAGGTAGTGTTAAAAATTACGACTTGTATAAGTGCTCGAAAGTAATTTGAAGAATAGATTATTCCTTTTTTTTAATGGATTAGTATGGAACAGTGTACCTGTCTGCGCTAACGGTATATGCTGGCGGAGCACCAGTGGAAGGTGATACGGTGAATGTGATGCCAGATCAGTTAGTATATGGTGACGAATTCACACAGATTTTATCGTGTTGGTTTCTAAGTGCTTCCCTATGCAAATCGATTTTTCAGTGTACGTTGTAATTGCACATCAGTTGCAGTTGGTTTAGCACATCGCCTTACTTTCCATGGATCCGGGTTCGATTCCTCGCACGGCACAAAAATTTGTATTCATGATTGTTTGTGTCGATCTGGGTGTTTTCTATGTATAATATGTACTTATGTATTTACGAAAAAAAACTATGTATTTGTATCAGTTGTTTAGTACCCATAACATAAACTTTTGCTAGCTAAATTGGGTCTAGATGGCGCTGTGATAATTGTCCTGTGATTATTATTATGTATTCGATAGTCAGATTAATAGGCCTTGGTTTTTGTCAGCTATAAAGATACTAAAGTATTTATATAATTATTTTATAGAGACCAAAAATGGAGTACACGAGGCTTCCATCCTATTAACTTGAGGTTAGGAGTCGTGTCACGTACCGATGTTGGTTACCTGCGCAACGTACATACTTATGCTTAATATCTACTATATATAATTATATTTGTGACTTGCTGTGCCATGCGGTTTTGTCTGCTATCAAAAGCAAAGTCAAAAGATTCAAAGAGTCAGTAATGTCAAAGGACAATCCTTTGACAATACTGGTATCTCTGGTATTCAAAGTAATCACACCGAAATATCCGAAATTCGTGTAGGTCTATTACAGACTCTTATGATATGTCAAATCTACCGTCAGTTCGGAATAATTTCGAGATGAGAAGAACTGACGAGAAACTCAGCTCGTATTATTTTCAAATAAATGTTGTACATGTTTACTATATAGATTCATTCATACTAATCTATACATCTATATATTTATACATATAAATAAAATTGGAGTGTCTGTTTGTAATATTGAAATAACCGTTTTTTACTACATGCATATGAATATAAATATTATATTAAATATAAAATGTTACAAAAATACACTTTTTTTTTAATACAATTAGCTGTGTAATTCAAATATAATTATTAATGTTGTGATCACTAGCATATGCTAGTACATTTTTGGAGATGAATAATAATATATCACACAGCGCCATCTAGTCCCAAGCTGAGCAGAACTTGTGTTATGAGTATAAAACAACTGATAACTGAAATAGAAATAGAAATAGAAATAACCTTTATTCAAATAAACTCATTACAAGCACTTTTGAATAGTCATATTTTGATTCTACCACTCATTCGGAATGCAGATTCATCACAAGAAGAATGAGCAAGAAACTTGTGTGTTGCTCTTTTTAATAGATGTTTTTTTTTTTATATAATTAATTACAGTATAACAAGTAAGAGGCATGCGATAATCAACATAGAAGTCGCTACGCACTCATTAAACGTGCATAACATACAAGAAAACATCCAGACCGATACAAACAATTATACTCAAGAGTACAAATGTTTGCACCGCGCGAGGATACGCACCTGCAACCATCGGGAGTAAAGCGGTGTGCTTAACCACTAAACCACCGAGGCCTCAAAGACTCAGCATTGTTTAGATAACTGGCAGAGCATTCCTCCTAGTACACCATCTATATTTGATTTTCATTAAAATACGCTCAGGCGTTTTGTCGTGAAGGTAACAGAAAGACAGTTTCGTATTTATAGAATAGAATAGAATAGAATAACATTTATTACATCACACATAACAACACAACAATAACGACGCTGACAGCAGCATATAAATTATTATATAAGATAAACGTAAATAAAAAACAATTCATTAAACTAGAGATGAAATCATTATATACAAAAAAAAAAATAAATAAATAAATAATAATAGTAAAGTAAAATGCATTTCCTATACACCATATGGGTGTAAGAGGCCTGTTGAGGGCGCCACTATATCTAGTATGTATTAATTATAAATGTAGTATCTGTACAATTAAATAGTACTCTTAGTATAAAAATAATGTAGCAAATAAGTTATATATCTCACAATGATTATCTGTAGAATGCAAATGTTGTTTACGTAATTTAGTTCCGAAATGAATACTAGATGGCGCTGTTAGATTTCTGAAACTCGATATTATTTCGTTTTCATCGATTGATATACACGATTGTAAAATTTTATTATTCAGTATTTCGTAACACCATTTTTTGATATCATTATACTCTTTCCTCGTATGTGGTGTTTCATTTCGAGGTTTTTGGGCTGTCTGAATATCGCGGCGCGGACGTCTTCAAGGCCCATCTCAGCGTTATGTCATGACAAAAGCCACGACGCTGATTTTCAGTGGAACCCCGAATAAGTGGTTCACGGACAAATGTGCATATAATATAATTAATTTAATACAATATCATATATAATAGACTACATACATAGTTTAAAGTGTATGTGTAATTAAGTAGAATATACTGTGTGGATAAGTATGTATGTGTCCATAAATATGTATGTATGGTTCAGGCATACGTCGAGGACACAAGAGACTAACGAGGACATGCAGCGTCGCCTCTCATTTGTAATTTTTTGGATACAAGTAACTTGTGTACTATATTTATTAGAAGGTGATTAGTCTAAACTGAATTACAGAACGTTCGGGCACTTGTTTGCATTTATAATTTAAGGGTCAAACTATACGCTGGTAACATTCTTATTAAATTATTGATTGTTTGGGATTATAGCTTTTGCCTGCGGCTTCGCTCGCGTTAATTTATCCCCTTAGGGGTGGAATATATCAAAATCCTTTCTTTGGAGAAAAAAAAAAAGTTCCAATCCTTAATTTCAGTTCAATCAGTCGAAAATCTAAGAAGTTTGATACAAACTTTCATCCTCTATTTTATCGCATTAGGGGTGGAATTTATCAAAATCCTTTCTAAGTCATAGTAGCAAGCAAAGTCTCAGTCCGATCGGTCTAAAATTGAAAAGTGTCATACAAACTTTCATCCCCTATTTACTTTGGGGGTAGAATTAATCAAAATATTTTCTTAGCGGATGCCTACGTCATAACATTCACCTGCATGCCAAATTTTAGCCCGACCGTCCAGTGGTTTGGGCTGTGCGTTGATAGATAGATAGATAGATAGATAGAGTTATATATATTTAGATCTTGCTCTTCTTCTCGAACATTCCGTCATTAGTAAAATCCGTGTACAACATTCTAAATATCTTATTTATTACAATTAAAACAAATTAAACATTGCAATATTCCTCCAGCAAACATGTTTAAAATTTTTAAATAGTATATACTTCTTTCCCCTTTTGCCAAGAGTTTATTGTTGTCTATTATGCCAGTAACAAAAAGGAAAAGCGACGTGTTCCATGCATCCAGCAATTTTATATTTTTTTAGTTTTTGTTTAAATATTCACAAAAGCGCTTACATATAAAGGGTAGACAAATTATTACTTTGAAATTGAAGAGCAATGTCACTCACTTTCTACTGGACAGCCATTACTTACATTTGCATCCATTCATACATTTATACGCATTTTTATATTATTCCCTACTAATATTATAAATGCGAAAGTAACTCTGTCTGTCTCGCTTTCACGCCCAAACTACTGAACCGATTTAAATGAAATTTGGTACACATATAGTCTAGAACCTGAGAAAGGACAGGCTACTTTTTAATCCGAATAATCCTTTCATCTTCCTTTCAACCCCTTACAAGGGTTGTAAGGGGTTGAAACGGGAGATGAAAGGTTATATGGAAGTATCGACAATTTACGCGGATGAAGTCGCAGGCATCTCTAGTATTTTATAAGTTAAATTTTTTTTTCCAGACGTTTCTTTTTTGGCAAATAGCTGATGTAAGGAGTAACGAAAAATAAAGTTAAATTCCACACGGCTGAACAGCTAATTTTATATATATTTCACTTATTATTCAATTTATCAAGAATCTACTATAAGATAAATATGCAATTGTTTATAATTATCTTATTTGTTTGTTGCAGGCATAAAATGTCCGGTGTGCAGCAAGTTCGTGTTGCCGGACGACATAGAGTGTCACCTGGTCATGTGCCTCACCAGGCCTCGCCTCTCATACAACGGTACGTCTCAGACATACACGTCTTTTTAGTCAGAACACATTATTTTTTTCTTTACAACAACGAAGCCGAAGTTAGAACTCCTACAAGTGCCCTCAGACTGAAGGCGGGAGATGGCCTTCAGCCGCTCCGTAAGTCCTTCCGCGGGTTTAGTAATAGCTACAGCTAACAGCATTAGAATAGCTCGATAAAAAATATGACTTAGTTTATTAGAACCTAAGTGATCTGGACAGTGCGGTTTCAGAGCTTCCTCCGTACACTTAAATTGTGGAAACTTCCTGCCGAATATTTCTCATGAGACAGCATGGGGTTTTTCAAGGGTATATTAAGGTTTCACTTTCGGTGTTTTAGCGTCCATATGCTACGGTAACCTTACCATCGTATGGGCCGTATGCTTGTTTGCCACCATCGTAGTATAAAAAAAAATTATTGCTTAATTGCTCGAATTGTACCCGCAAGGATGTAGTGTTGTGCTTAACCACCAGACCACCAAGGCCCTCAGGCTATAACTCTACAATTGTCAAATGACAGCTAACAATGTTGCCAGTCTGCCTACATACCTAAATGTATGTAAATAACTTAATGGTCACGATGAGTCTATGGTGATTATGAGAAATCGATACAAACTATTACAATAACTAGTTAACAGTATTTGTATCGTACCATACCACATGTGACCTTCACTTCTATAACTCTAGCTGTGTACCGCGGCGTCATTTGTTGGCACACACGTCGTTGGTTGGTTTTTTTTCTATTGCCCAAGGAAATATACTAACTTATTTGTTTACTAGCTCATCGCTCCGGCTTTGCCTGGGTATACATGTATTATATGTATGTATATATCTTCCCCTAGAATCGTTCTGTCTTTTAAAAAAAACCGCTTCAAAATCCGTTGCGCAGTTTTAAAGATTTAAGCATACATAGGAACGGACAGACAGCGATAGCGACTGTTTTATACTATGTAATGATTTACAGCAATATAAATGGGCATGTACTTCGACTCAATCAAGCGGGATTTTATTTTGTTGTTTCGTATCGATTTTGTTAATTTTTTTGTCCAAACTACCCCAATTTATGATAAATCAATGAAATTAGGGGTAGAGTCGGTAATGAAAAAGCACAGTTTGCATTCACACAAAATCTTAAAAATGAAATGTGTCTTAAAAATAAAATGCGGTTATTAACGGTTAGTTATCCGACTGCGACAAAAAAAGAGTAATAATCTGTCTTTATATTAGTAGTTCTTATTTCAATATAGGAATACATCTACTCCTATTGGAATAGAAACTACACTATAAAAGAAGAGCGAAAGTTCTGGATGATGAACATCCTCTGCAGGGGCGGATCGTGAATTTGTGGGGCCCTGGGTTAAATCTACTTAGGGGCCTACCTAATTATATTACTCAACAAAAAAAATACACCGACCAAAAACAAGCGACCAGAAATTCCCAGTTTCTTTCAATAGACGTGCACTTGCTTGGATTGATTGATCTTAGGGTTGCCAACCTGATAGGCTAACATTCTAGATATTTTTTTATATTCTAAATATCGTTTCAGTGGGGACTGGGGGCCCTTTGTATCCTCGGGGCCCTGTACTGTAGCCCCAAAACCCTTAGGTAGATCCGCTCCTGATCGTCTGGGATTTTATAATGCTTTTCATTCGTGTCCATTAAGATGTCCAGTCAGGTATAATACCTAGAATTGGGAACGGTTTGTTTTTGGAGTTTCTAGTCGAGCCTTCATTTATAAAGTTAATTTGTCTTTTGTTTGTGGTTAAACATTTTTGGACTCTAACTAGTGAGAGTATAAAATGCGGTTAATTAACCGTTAATAACGAAAAATGCTTTTTAACGACTTGGTTAAGAAGTCTACCCTGACTAGTTAATTAGTCTTTTGTTTGTGGTCAATTCTTTTTGGACTCCAGCATAAAATGCGGTTAATTGATTGTTAATAACGAAAAATGCATTTTTAACGGGATTGGTAATGTTAATAACCGGCCTCGCATCTATAGTCTACCCTCACTCATTGGTGATTTTTCATTAATTTTCAGAGGATGTGCTGAGCGATTCAAAGGGAGAGTGCGTGATCTGTCTAGAGGAACTGTCAGCTGGAGACACCATAGCGCGCCTGCCATGCCTCTGCATCTATCATAAAGGGTATGTGTTCACGAAACCATTTTTTTATTATTAAGGTTTTTGGGCTATTACTTGGTGCTTAGACCAACAGCACTGCGACCTGAAGAGATCTATTGTGCTCGCCCTTTTTTAGAGTCGGCTGCTGAACCCCGTCAGGGACAAGATGGATACTCTTAGGAGCGATGTTTTTTATCTACTCAGGATATTTTCCAAAGAAGATTTTTCGTTTATGCATGAGTGGTGACGACCAGATAGGATGTGTAGCGGCGTTTCCTCTTCCATTTGGTAGAATATGCAAGTCTTTGTAGAGCACAGGGCTAAGTTAACCATATGATTATTTAATTTGCATTGTCCAATGAAGGACCTAGTCATAACGCATATATTGTTTCTACTCAATAGCATTAGCCTATTAAAGTATTGATTCGAGTAGGTCTTAGGGGTATTGAATATATAATTCTTGGCATTTCCTGTCAGTGATTTAGTGCTTCCTGCTTAGTTATTAGTTTGAGATGTCCCATCTTTAGGGAATGAGGCACGCCACAGGAGGGTCCAAGGACGCTTTTTGCTCCTAGCTTTGCCAGTTGGTCAAGTTATAATTGCCTTCAGGTAAACTATACCCATCCACATGGAACTAGAGTGCACTGCATGATAGGGTTGTTATTACTGCTATTAAAAAAAAAGCAAACTTGCGGGTAATATATTACATACATATCTACATACACAGGATCTGTCTATTTTTTTTTGTAATTGATGATAATGGAGTGACGCGCCCGTCTGTGCTAACGGACTATGCTTGCACGGCACCAGTGGAGGATGATAAGATGAGCATGAAGTCAGGTCAGTTAATCCATAATTGGCAAATGGCAATTTACCAAGATAGTTTCCAGGGGAATGTCACTCCATACCAGGTGCTCCACGCGGGGAGCACCTGACATATCATTCCTACCAATAAGAATAAGGTTGTTAGTCCACATTTCTAACCATCCTCTTTCTCTCTATCTTGAAATTCAGTTCTTTTTATCCGTATCCCAGTATCAAACTAGTTCTCGATATGGGGCAAACTATAAATACATACATGTAACCAATGGCTAAGTGCTAGCCGGTATCAAAAGGCCGATAAGCCTCAAAGGGCTGCATCTAGGTCGCAGATACATATCTGTATTCGACCCGACAGCGTGCGATAGTGTATAAGAACTCGCAACCTAATTCACATGTTTCACACTGAAAGTGATTGACTAGTTGTTCTCCGGGACTACGTTTGTTTTTATCATTAAAAAATTATTATTACTGGCCTAGGACAATTTAATATGACAAGTAACGTAAAATTACACTACTAATCTACTACTCTAATCACTACGAATTATTTTCTCTTATTAATTGTTTAACCAGTTGTTGTATATTGAATGTTTTTTTCTATTTTATTATTTCATTGAATTAGTGCTAATCGGTGGTGTATTCACACACTTAAACTTAAATTGTAAGTAAGAATAAATTATTTAAAAGAGCAACACACAAGTTTCTTGCTTGTTCTTCTTGTGATGAGACAGCATTCCGAATGAGCGGTAGATTAAAAAAAAAATGTTATGACTATTCAAAAGTGCTTCAATGTAAGTTTATTTGAATAAATGATTTTCTATTCTATTCTATTCTATTCTATTCTACACCGTTAATCTTCCTAAAATAAAAAAAAAAGATAGCCTGTGTTGCAGATTGACAGTTACTGGCAGTCTATATTAATATAATATAGTTAAATAAATATATATGACAAAGAATTTATAATAAATATATGTAGAAAACTGAAAATGTAGCATCATCATTATTAATTTATCTCGCCGTCAATATACCATATAATTAAACGACCGCTAACAATACAATACAAATACAATAACAATACAACAGAATGTAATGAAAACTGTGAAATTAGTAGTAGTGTAAGATTTATATAATTGTATATGCATATTGGTAAATCTAATCCTCCTAATAAAGATGGGTGACACTGCATGTTGTCAACTCACCCGGCCGGCCAGCGGTGGTTCTGGGCCAGACGGATAAGGTCTGCCTCGGTGTCACTGTTAGGCAAATTGTAACATCTCGGCTGGAGTTGTACAAAAGTGGAAATTAAATAAATATAATAATATTAAAGTAAATTAAAAAAGGCACGGACGAATATGTCTGTGGAAAATTGTATTTAAAAAAAAATAAAAAAAAAAAAAAAAAAAAAAAAAAAAAAACGACCGCTAACAGCGATTTTCAACAGCTTGTGTTCTCGTGATATATTTTCATTTTGCTGTGTGCTCACAATAAAATTGTAGTTATTATTTTAATAATAATAATAATCTCAGGACAATTCACACAACGCCATCTAGTCCCAAGTTAAGCTATCTAAAGCTTGTGTTACGGGTACTAGATAATATCATGATACAAGTACATAGATATTTTTTTTCGTAAATACATACATATTATACATAGAAAACACACAGACCGATACAAATAATCATACTCATGAATACAAATGTTTGTGCCGTGCGAGGAATCGAACCCGCGATCATCGGTCGTAAAGCGGTGTGCTAGACCGCTAGACCACCGAGGTCGTCATTTAATACATAAATATATTGTTCGTAACAGTATTGTATCTTGCGGTGCTCATTGCCAGACACTTAGTTACACCCCCACCGGACATCCCCAAACTATAAGATTTTACAATTATACTTACGTTATATTATGAAAGCTGAATTTTATATATATTATTCAGTCAACTATGAAACCGTGTTTCCTCAAGAAAATCAAAACTGTCTGGCAATACCAGACAGTTTTGTTGGTTGCCAGACAGCTGACAATCCAAAACACAAGTTATTGTTTAAACTATATGTGCCAGTTACCTGCCCTCTGTACTGTTTCCTATATGTTTATATCAATTTAAATATAAAAAAGATTTTAATATGGAATTATATATTTAAAAATTATATAATATAAATTATAATTTATATATATAAAAATATAGGAACTTTGGTCAATTTTTTGGATCAATATTTTGCGTTTCTATTTATATTAAATTTCATTAAAGTCCATTCAGTTTAGCTGAAAAGTTAACAGAGATACTTTCATTTTTATATTACTAGTTGCCCAGCAAACTTCATCAACGCCACATTTTTCCCGATTTTGCAATATTTTTCATTGCAGCTCCGCTCCTATTGGTCGTAGCGTGATGTTACGATGCCTATCAAACACTAAATAAATTTCCAAAATTGGATCAGTAGTACCTCCCCAGATTCATACCCAGATTCTTATAGAGCTTGTGTTATGGGTATTAGTCAACTGATATACGTACTTAAATACCTACATACATAATATATATAGAAAACACCCAGACCGGTACGAATGTTGGAACCGCGCGAGGAATTGTATCCCTGACCATCGGAAGTGAGCGGCTAGTTTGCTAAACCGTCAGACCAATTGGATATTGGATACTAATCATAATTTTTCTCTATTCCAGATGTATAGACCAATGGTTTGAAGTCAACAGATCGTGCCCCGAGCATCCCGGCGACTAGTGGCCGCGCGAAAACACCGGCCGCTCGGCCACGTTCGGCCACGCTCGGCCAATCTCGGCCACGCTCGGCCAATCTCGGCCACGCTCGGCCAATCTCGGCCACGCTCGGCCAATCTCGGCCACGCTCGGCCAATCTCGGCCACGCTCGGCTGCGATCGGCCCCGCTCGGTCGCACCCGGCCATGCCACGTGCCATGTCGCGAGTGATAGTTTTATACAATGAACGGACGGTCCTCGGGCCCTTGTAAATATACATATTCTAGTGAGATGTTTTACCATATAATTAACAAAACAAAGACAGTTATAGTAAAATGCTATGGGGAAAATTTGGTGGAGTATTAATAATACTATTAATTGTAAATTTTACAACGTTACTGTTTAGTTGAAATGCGATTATTATAGTTTGTTTTTAATTGATATGTATGTATAATATATACGATTCAAGTTGTATGTTGATGTCAGGTTCGTTTGCAGTAAGGTTAATTTGAGGGTTATGTTTAGTGCGGTCTCTGTGATCTACCAGCGGTTACATATCTGTTGCGTAAGCTTATAGTAAATAATATATGATTTGATCTTTTTCATCTTGATAATAAAGTTGATTTGTTTCTAAATTTTCTACGGTTGTTTCTTTTTACCACCGCCTAAATTAGATAATAATGTTAGAGTTCGCATCAATATTGTAGAAAAAATCCGATTTAAAAAGATATTAAAAGGTAGTTTGTGTTTAGTACTAATGAAGTACACAATGTAAAAATTATTACAAATATTGTAAATAGCGCCATCTAGTATTTATGGACCGAACTAAGTTGTTTACATAGATAACCGTTACCCCCGCTTCTACCCTACTACACTGACTTTGGTCTATAAATCCGGAGGTCGGTAGTTGAATAATCCTCTTTCGTTGGGTGAGCCGCAGCATTCAATCGACGAATGTAGAGCGTGCCGGTTGTGTTTTGGATACTAAAGTGAATTGTAGTACAAATGGGTTTATTCCGGTTTTAGTTGGGCCTGGGGGGAAGCTACAAGTAGTGAAGGTGAGTGTTAATGCATTCTAAAAGGGTGTTTTAAACCTACACCCGTGTCATAAGTCACGGGCGCTATTTGGGGTTTCCCTTGCGGCTTCAAAGCCCAAGTCGTCTTCATAATTAGTGGTTCCTACAATAATAATAATAATCATCTTTATTTATTTTTTTTGTGGATGATAATGGAATGGTGCACCCGCCTGCGCTAACGGTTTACGCTGGCAGGGCACCAGTGGAGGATGATAAGATGAGCATGAGATCAGGTCAGTTAGCCCATCGTGACAAATTCACCAGGAATTTATCACGATGGTTTCCAGGGGGAACCGCGTGGAGGTCGACCTGACATGATACATTGCTAGCAATGGGGTTATCAATCCACATTACTAACAATCCCCTTCCCCCCTATCATCTTTATTTGTATCAAACAAAAACTAATACATTATTAATTGCTGCCCATACAATAATAAAATTTAAAAGTAATAAAGGAGACAAAGAGGTCTGTATATAAGGTAAGATTATTAATTCCAGTCAGTAAAATGACATTTCCAGTGTTGCAGGTTTTTAGTCCCAAATAAATAGTGATGGTAGAATCGAGTTTTTACAATTAAAACTTAGTCGAGATTACATTTTTTTATTCAATATCAAATTGCCTTTATACAAATAAAAATTCTAGTATTAATTCCTCTGAATCTCTTTTTACATTTTTTCCCAGCTTTTGTAATAATGTTATAGTGAGAAATTTTAATATGCTGGTAAGGTCCATATTTCTAAAATCGTATTGTTTAATACGATATGTATTAAATATTTAAAATAAAAAAAAAAGTCTTCGATACCTAATAAAATAAAGCATGACTAAATGTCTAAGTCTATTGATTGCCGGACATCACTATTGTAGCGGGTCACTCTTTGTATCAGTGACAGTTGCACTTGTCATTTTACTGTCTGGAATTAATAATCGTACTTTAGTTATTTTATATTGACTTGGAATAATGAAAAAAAAAGTTATTCAATCGAGTTTCTTGCCAGTTCTTCTCCATTGGATCTAAATATTGAACTGGACGGTAGGGAAAAAATCATAATAATAAAAGATTTTTTAATTTGAATGCACAAGCCTTCGCTAACGTTTACGCTGCCGGATCGTTTCTGATGAGAAGATCCTGCGAGACGCTCAGGATGGTCTACTGCTCGGTAGCGGTTGAGCACACCTTACTTCCGATGGTCGCGGGTTCGATTCCTCGCACGGCACGAACATTTGTAACCATGGGTATGATGGTTTTGTATTGGTTTTATGAAAAATACGTAATTGTATCAGTTATCTAGTACGCTTAACACAACCTTTAGCTAACTTAACTTGTGCCTAGATGGCGCTGTGTGAATTGTCCTTTTTTATTATTATGTGTTAGGGTTCACATCGACAGGGTGCAAGCCATAGCACCCTAACCAGAGAGAGGGGGCCTGTCCTACAACATCTACAGGACAGGCCAAGCCGCCGAAGTCTGGGTTGAGTGCCAAGTGCGAACCCCGGACTTCAGCCCGAGGCACCTCGAGGTATACCGTGTGGTTTTTTAGTGGGTACGAGTCCCACACACCACCTCGCCATCCCTCCGGCGGGGTGACGGTCTTGTTGAAGATTTTTCCACACGATAAAAAAAAAAAAGGGTTCACATCGATATTGTCGAAAAATCTGATATTTTATATTAAAAGAAGGTAGTTTCATTATTACTCGGTATCGTTAAACTAGTTGCATATAACCCCCACTCATATCTTCTCTGTGTAAAAGGGAGGGTTTTTGTAGGCCGCGGCATTCGGTCTTTGAGCACAGGATGTGCTGGTTGTATTTTAATTGGTAAAGTGAATTGTGTTATAGACATAGTTAAATTAATGTTATATAGTTGTTATTTTATTATAATACATACTTTTACTAGTACATAGAGTTGATATATCTAACATATGCATAAAAACACAAAGACCGATACAAATGATTACAAATTTTTGCTATGGATAAGAAAAACAGACAAATGGAAAGAATGGTATAGAATTTAGTATTTTAAATAAAATATTTATTGTATCAATATTTATTCACTGAAAGTACCACAGCCGAATACATTATGATTCTTCTTACATTTAAAGGGTAATTAATATATATTTTGATATAAAACAAATGTTAAATCTTAATAATGTTATAAACACGAAAGTTTGTAAGTATGTATGTTTGTTACTCTATCATACAAAAACTACTGAACGTGTTTTGATGAGAGTTTACAGTAATATAGTTTATGCATCAGAATAACATATAGGCTATATATTTTATTGAAATTTAACATGGATGAAACCGCGTCTGTGCATGTTAAAATACTTTCCAAGAACTATTATTGCCATGTTCGTATGTCTTTTAAGTAATTGTTTACAATAATAAAAAAATACTAAACAAATTTATTTCTTAACTAGCTGTTCTGTTTATTTTTCTAAAATAAAAGTAGCCTAAGTTACTCCTTATTACATCGGCTGCCTGATAATAAAAGTCCCGTCAAAATCGGTCTAGACATTTCAGAGATTAGCCGGAACAGACAGACAGAGAAAATTGTAAAAAATGTTATTTTGGTGTATGTACCGTATTTATATTCATATGCATGTAGTAAAAAATGGTTATTTCAATATTACAAACAGACACAATTTTATTTATATGTATAGATTTGAGTAATGAAATGGATTTTCGCAAAATATGACCTTATTATTATGAAATATATGATTTATTATCGCATGAAGTTGCGATGTCTTGGGCCGCGTTGCATTCTCGCTCCTCCCCATCCCATTCCACCTGGAAACATAAATAATAATAATAATCTTAGGATAACAGCGCCATCTAGACCCAAGTTAAGCTTGTTGAAGCTTGTATCACGGGTACTAGATAACTGATACAAATATATAGATTTTTTTTTGTAAATACATACATATTATAAATAGAAAACACCCAGATCGATACAAACAATCATACTCATGAATACAAATGTTTGTGCCGTGAGAAGAATCGAACGTCCGTGAATCGAACCCGCGACCATCGGTGTGCTAGACCGCTATACCACCGAGGTCGTCAAAATAATAATCAATATTATTGTTTTGCTTCATTTTTACAGCGTTTGCCGGTTTTATAGATTTTGTGGTATTATTATTAGATGAATAGGTAAAGCAGAAACTTTGTGACCAACTTAAAATAAAAAAAAGGTGTTTCTTACCCATCATATACTGGGACGCTGGCGCGAAGTGGCCGAAATGTTGTCCACCCATCTCCCACGCGCCCCGGCCTCGCCTGCAAACGACAAGGAAAATATACATAAGGCGGAAAAAAAACTTTAGGGGAATAGGTTCTTAATTTTTTTTTTTTGCATTGTTTTATTTTGAATTATTATGAATTCAAAATAAAACAATGGAAAAAAAATATCATGATGATGATGTTTCATGAATGTTGTGTCTTATCTCGTGTTCAGTGTGAGGTAAGCCGATAGAACTCTCTTATGAACGTTTCATTTAAATTTTTTTAGTGTTCAAAAATTTAAAGTTGTTTTCCCACAACTTATGTTTTCAAAGTTTGTTTATATATATATATATCTAAAATATATAAAATACTGTCATATAAACCTTCCTCTTGAATCACTCTCTCTATAAAAAACCGCTTCAAAATCCGTTGCGTAGTTTTAAAGATTTATATGTAATGAAGATTCTTCAAATGTGTTACTATAATGTACCATTCGTTTTAATAAATGGATTCCAACTGTTTCATATAAAAAATAATTACAAAAATGTACTTTTCTTTCACACGAATTAACCCTATCCCCCGCCTTAAACAAACAACATAATTTGTTTTATGTAACTAATGGTAAACGAATTTATCTGAAATAGGGTGATAAAACTGGGTGTGACTGACTGTCTGGTCGTCCGCACCACCGAGAGGTGAAGGTTGGGGCTTCGGGGCGAACCCCTTTGCCCCAGCATTTACTTTGGGGGCAACAACCTCTCGGGACCTGAAAGCCCCTAGAACAAGTATACATAAAAAAATCTACTTAAATTAGCTTACTAAACGTAGTGCCACACTTAATATCTAACTATCTTAAATAATCTTGTAAAAAACACCTCCAGTTCTGTCTCTAAAAATCTAAAATTTATCTTTTATAAAACAATAATAAATGTATAATGTAAAAACTCATTTAAAATTGCATTTCTGTCGTCGACGTGTACTCACAGATGTCTGTAGTGCGGCGCAGGAGACACGAACCGGCCGCGCTCCCCCGCGCCCCCCGCACCCGCACCGCCGCGACGGGGTCCCCTGCAGAATAGAATAGAATTTTATTCACTTCTCTTGAGATAACAATAATGAGAAAAAAAAATACAAGTAACAATTTACACATATTACTAAATAGTCAGTGTGGACCACAACTCAGTAAAAAGCTGGAAGCAATTTCCAGCGCGGATTTTCACTTGCCTACGATACGGTCGGATACAAATTACAAAATTAAAAAACTATAAATATAAAACAGATGTTATATAAATATAAAATAACTGTAACATGTAAAAAAACAAGTCTATATGTACTGTACTGTATATGTATATATATAAAACAACACAATATTTATTACTTTGTACCCTTTAAAAACCAGAAATAGAAAGAAGAAAATGAAATACTAATAATGATGCGCATTTACGGTTTGTATATACAATAATATCAGGACAATTCACACAACGCGATCTAGACCAAAGTTAAGTTAGCTAAAGCTTTTGTTATGGGTACTAGATATATAAATAGATAATTCATAGTACATATATACATATTTTTTTCGTATATCTTATATATAAAATTCTCGTGCCACAGTTTTCGTTCCCATACTCCTCCGAAACGGCTTGACCGATTCTCATGAAATTTTGTGAGCGTATTGAGTAGGTCTGAGAATCGGCCAACATCTATTTTTCATCCCCCTAAATGTTAGGGGTAGTCCACCCCTAATTTTTTATTTTATTTTTTAGACAAAATTTTTGTTTCTATTTTTTTATAATACAACATACAAAAATACATACAATACTAAATTTTCACCCTTCTATCATCAACCCCTATTTTTTTATAGCGTTATTAATTATATCGCAAAACGTTTGTCGGGACAGCTAGTAGATATATAATATACATAAAAAACACCCACATCGATACAAAGTGATCAACAATTAAAAAAAAAATCTTATTCAGATATGGGGTTACGTGAGACCGCGGAAGGATATTGTTGAAACATGTGCGTCTGAGTTGTCGTCTAGTGCCCAATACCATCCTATATGGTCATAACAGCAATATATCCTATCATTCAACTTTCTTACAGACTCACATAAATCATTTGTATGGGAATGAATATTAACATGGAAGCGATAGGAAGAATATAGGCGATAATTGCAGTAGCTAATACATTTTGTCTTATCAGTAATGTACAAAATTAATAAGAGTGGACCTAAAATCGATCCTTGTGGCACTCCTCTTGTAACAGGCAAACAGCTTGAAGAAATTTTTTGACAATAGCTTTATCAACTCAATATACTTAATTCAAGGTACTAATGACCTACATTATACACTAACATACATATAAAATAATAATATATATATATTAATACGAGAAGCAAAAACTGTGTACACCTTTTCATTAAAATTGCACGGACGGAGCACGAAACTCACCGGCCGGATGGCATATATTTATATACATATATATAAGTATACTAGCCAACCCGCGCAACTTCGTCTGCGTTTAATTTCCCCACCTTTTTTAATATTTTTCATTGCAGTTCCGCTTCTATTGGTCATAGCGTAATGTTATATAGCTTAAAGCCTCGATAAATGGTCTATACAACACAAGAATATTTTTTCAATTCGAACTAGCAATTCCTGAGATTAGCGCGTTCAAACTCTTCAGCTTATATAATATTAAAATAATATAGGCAGTAGTAGTGTATTACCTGGCGACGACGGTGGCTGCGGGCGCGGCGTACTGCTGGTGTTGGTGCGGGTGGTGGTGATGCAGCGCCGTGAAGTCGTCCACGTGCAGCGACGGCGGACGCGACGTGTTCGGAGGACGAGAACGGAACGCATCCGCGCCGCCCTCACCGCGCATTCGGGACACCGCCACTGCGGGACAGGCGGACACACGTCACTAGTGCGGGCGGGACAGGGGGGCACACTCCCGTCCGTCGCTGGCGGCGGGCTGCGCGCGGTGCATGCAGCCCGCGAGGCACACTCACACTCACACTCACACTCACACTCCCACTCACCGGGCGGGCGGCGGTCGTCGCTGGCGGCGGGCTGCGCGCGGTGCATGCAGCCCGCGAGGCACACTCACACTCACACTCACACTCCCACTCACCGGGCGGGCGGCGGTCGTCGCTGGCGGCGGGCTGCGCGCGGTGCATGCAGCCCGCGAGGCACACTCACACTCACACTCACACTCACACTCACACTCCCACTCACCGGGCGGGCGGCGGTCGTCGCTGGCGGCGGGCTGCGCGCGGTGCATGCAGCCCGCGAGGCACACTCACACTCACACTCACACTCACACTCACACTCCCACTCACCGGGCGGGCGGCGGTCGTCGCTGGCGGCGGGCTGCGCGCGGTGCATGCAGCCCGCGAGGCACACTCACACTCACACTCACACTCACACTCACACTCCCACTCACCGGGCGGGCGGCGGTCGTCGCTGGCGGCGGGCTGCGCGCGGTGCATGCAGCCCGCGAGGCACACTCACACTCACACTCACACTCACACTCACACTCCCACTCACCGGGCAGGCGGCGGTCGTCGCTGGCGGCGGGCTGCGCGCGGTGCATGCAGCCCGCGAGGCACACTCACACTCACACTCACACTCACACTCACACTCACACTCCCACTCACCGGGCGGGCGGCGGTCGTCGCTGGCGGCGGGCTGCGCGCGGTGCATGCAGCCCGCGAGGCACACTCACACTCACACTCACACTCACACTCACACTCACACTCCCACTCACCGGGCGGGCGGCGGTCGTCGCTGGCGGCGGGCTGCGCGCGGTGCATGCAGCCCGCGAGGCACACTCACACTCACACTCACACTCACACTCACACTCCCACTCACCGGGCGGGCGGCGGTCGTCGCTGGCGGCGGGCTGCGCGCGGTGCATGCAGCCCGCGAGGCACACTCACACTCACACTCACACTCACACTCCCACTCACCGGGCGGGCGGCGGTCGTCGCTGGCGGCGGGCTGCGCGCGGTGCATGCAGCCCGCGAGGCACACTCACACTCACACTCACACTCACACTCATTCACTCCCACTCACCGGGCGGGCGGCGGTCGTCGCTGGCGGCGGGCTGCGCGCGGTGCATGCAGCCCGCGAGGCACACTCACACTCACACTCACACTCACACTCCCACTCACCGGGCGGGCGGCGGTCGTCGCTGGCGGCGGGCTGCGCGCGGTGCATGCAGCCCGCGAGGCACACTCACACTCACACTCACACTCACACTCACACTCACACTCCCACTCACCGGGCGGGCGGCGGTCGTCGCTGGCGGCGGGCTGCGCGCGGTGCATGCAGCCCGCGAGGCACACTCACACTCACACTCACACTCCCACTCACCGGGCGGGCGGCGGTCGTCGCTGGCGGCGGGCTGCGCGCGGTGCATGCAGCCCGCGAGGCACACTCACACTCACACTCACACTCACACTCACACTCCCACTCACCGGGCGGGCGGCGGTCGTCGCTGGCGGCGGGCTGCGCGCGGTGCATGCAGCCCGCGAGGCACACTCACACTCACACTCACACTCACACTCACACTCCCACTCACCGGGCGGGCGGCGGTCGTCGCTGGCGGCGGGCTGCGCGCGGTGCATGCAGCCCGCGAGGCACACTCACACTCACACTCACACTCACACTCACACTCCCACTCACCGGGCGGGCGGCGGTCGTCGCTGGCGGCGGGCTGCGCGCGGTGCATGCAGCCCGCGAGGCACACTCACACTCACACTCACACTCACACTCACACTCCCACTCACCGGGCAGGCGGCGGTCGTCGCTGGCGGCGGGCTGCGCGCGGTGCATGCAGCCCGCGAGGCACACTCACACTCACACTCACACTCACACTCACACTCACACTCCCACTCACCGGGCGGGCGGCGGTCGTCGCTGGCGGCGGGCTGCGCGCGGTGCATGCAGCCCGCGAGGCACACTCACACTCACACTCACACTCACACTCCCACTCACCGGCCGGGCGGCGGTCGTCGCTGGCGGCGGGCTGCGCGCGGTGCATGCAGCCCGCGAGGCACCACTCACACTCACACTCACACTCACACTCACACTCCCACTCACCGGGCGGGCGGCGGTCGTCGCTGGCGGCGGGCTGCGCGCGGTGCATGCAGCCCGCGAGGCACACTCACACTCACACTCACACTCACACTCCCACTCACCGGGCGGGCGGCGGTCGTCGCTGGCGGCGGGCTGCGCGCGGTGCATGCAGCCCGCGAGGCACACTCACACTCACACTCACACTCACACTCCCACTCACCGGGCGGGCGGCGGTCGTCGCTGGCGGCGGGCTGCGCGCGGTGCATGCAGCCCGCGAGGCACACTCACACTCACACTCACACTCCCACTCACCGGGCGGGCGGCGGTCGTCGCTGGCGGCGGGCTGCGCGCGGTGCATGCAGCCCGCGAGGCACACTCACACTCACACTCACACTCACACTCACACTCCCACTCACCGGGCGGGCGGCGGTCGTCGCTGGCGGCGGGCTGCGCGCGGTGCATGCAGCCCGCGAGGCACACTCACACTCACACTCACACTCACACTCCCACTCACCGGGCGGGCGGCGGTCGTCGCTGGCGGCGGGCTGCGCGCGGTGCATGCAGCCCGCGAGGCACACTCACACTCACACTCACACTCACACTCCCACTCACCGGGCGGGCGGCGGTCGTCGCTGGCGGCGGGCTGCGCGCGGTGCATGCAGCCCGCGAGGCACACTCACACTCACACTCACACTCACACTCACACTCCCACTCACCGGGCGGGCGGCGGTCGTCGCTGGCGGCGGGCTGCGCGCGGTGCATGCAGCCCGCGAGGCACACTCACACTCACACTCACACTCACACTCCCACTCACCGGGCGGGCGGCGGTCGTCGCTGGCGGCGGGCTGCGCGCGGTGCATGCAGCCCGCGAGGCACACTCACACTCACACTCACACTCACACTCACACTCCCACTCACCGGGCGGGCGGCGGTCGTCGCTGGCGGCGGGCTGCGCGCGGTGCATGCAGCCCGCGAGGCACACTCACACTCACACTCACACTCACACTCCCACTCACCGGGCGGGCGGCGGTCGTCGCTGGCGGCGGGCTGCGCGCGGTGCATGCAGCCCGCGAGGCACACTCACACTCACACTCACACTCACACTCACACTCCCACTCACCGGGCGGGCGGCGGTCGTCGCTGGCGGCGGGCTGCGCGCGGTGCATGCAGCCCGCGAGGCACACTCACACTCACACTCACACTCACACTCACACTCACACTCCCACTCACCGGGCGGGCGGCGGTCGTCGCTGGCGGCGGGCTGCGCGCGGTGCATGCAGCCCGCGAGGCACACTCACACTCACACTCACACTCACACTCCCACTCACCGGGCGGGCGGCGGTCGTCGCTGGCGGCGGGCTGCGCGCGGTGCATGCAGCCCGCGAGGCACACTCACACTCACACTCACACTCACACTCCCACTCACCGGGCGGGCGGCGGTCGTCGCTGGCGGCGGGCTGCGCGCGGTGCATGCAGCCCGCGAGGCACACTCACACTCACACTCACACTCACACCCACTCACCGGGCGGGCGGCGGTCGTCGCTGGCGGCGGGCTGCGCGCGGTGCATGCAGCCCGCGAGGCACACTCACACTCACACTCACACTCACACTCCCACTCACCGGGCGGGCGGCGGTCGTCGCTGGCGGCGGGCTGCGCGCGGTGCATGCAGCCCGCGAGGCACACTCACACTCACACTCACACTCACACTCCCACTCACCGGGCGGGCGGCGGTCGTCGCTGGCGGCGGGCTGCGCGCGGTGCATGCAGCCCGCGAGGCACACTCACACTCACACTCACACTCACACTCCCACTCACCGGGCGGGCGGCGGTCGTCGCTGGCGGCGGGCTGCGCGCGGTGCATGCAGCCCGCGAGGCACACTCACACTCACACTCACACTCACACTCACACTCCCACTCACCGGGCGGGCGGCGGTCGTCGCTGGCGGCGGGCTGCGCGCGGTGCATGCAGCCCGCGAGGCACACTCACACTCACACTCACACTCACACTCCCACTCACACTCACACTCACACTCACACTCACACTCCCACTCACCGGGCGGGCGGCGGTCGTCGCTGGCGGCGGGCTGCGCGCGGTGCATGCAGCCCGCGAGGCACACTCACACTCACACTCACACTCACACTCCCACTCACCGGGCGGGCGGCGGTCGTCGCTGGCGGCGGGCTGCGCGCGGTGCATGCAGCCCGCGAGGCACACTCACACTCACACTCACACTCACACTCCCACTCACCGGGCGGGCGGCGGTCGTCGCTGGCGGCGGGCTGCGCGCGGTGCATGCAGCCCGCGAGGCACACTCACACTCACACTCACACTCACACTCCCACTCACCGGGCGGGCGGCGGTCGTCGCTGGCGGCGGGCTGCGCGCGGTGCATGCAGCCCGCGAGGCACACTCACACTCACACTCACACTCACACTCCCACTCACCGGGCGGGCGGCGGTCGTCGCTGGCGGCGGGCTGCGCGCGGTGCATGCAGCCCGCGAGGCACACTCACACTCACACTCACACTCACACTCCCACTCACACTCACACTCACACTCACACTCACACTCCCACTCACCGGGCGGGCGGCGGTCGTCGCTGGCGGCGGGCTGCGCGCGGTGCATGCAGCCCGCGAGGCACACTCACACTCACACTCACACTCCCACTCACCGGGCGGGCGGCGGTCGTCGCTGGCGGCGGGCTGCGCGCGGTGCATGCAGCCCGCGAGGCACACTCACACTCACACTCACACTCACACTCCCACTCACCGGGCGGGCGGCGGTCGTCGCTGGCGGCGGGCTGCGCGCGGTGCATGCAGCCCGCGAGGCACACTCACACTCACACTCACACTCACACTCCCACTCACCGGGCGGGCGGCGGTCGTCGCTGGCGGCGGGCTGCGCGCGGTGCATGCAGCCCGCGAGGCACACTCACACTCACACTCACACTCACACTCACACTCACACTCCCACTCACCGGGCGGGCGGCGGTCGTCGCTGGCGGCGGGCTGCGCGCGGTGCATGCAGCCCGCGAGGCACACTCACACTCACACTCACACTCACACTCCCACTCACCGGGCGGGCGGCGGTCGTCGCTGGCGGCGGGCTGCGCGCGGTGCATGCAGCCCGCGAGGCACACTCACACTCACACTCACACTCACACTCCCACTCACCGGGCGGGCGGCGGTCGTCGCTGGCGGCGGGCTGCGCGCGGTGCATGCAGCCCGCGAGGCACACTCACACTCACACTCACACTCACACTCCCACTCACCGGGCGGGCGGCGGTCGTCGCTGGCGGCGGGCTGCGCGCGGTGCATGCAGCCCGCGAGGCGCCGCACGGCCCCCGCGAGGGCCTCCGCCCCGCCGGCCGCGCCGGGCCCGCCTCCGCCCGACAGGTACGACGACGCCAGCTCCATGATGTCGCACGACACCTGCGACAGTACACGCGCGTCAATATCGCGGTCGCTGTGACGCATATTATAATATATACTAAATAGTAGTACTACGTTGTAGGGACTGGTGTGCTCTATCACTACGACTGATTTAATTTTATTGTATATTTAATATCTGACCCTAATAAATGAGTGCCAGTTGGTGGTTTGCATTGGCACGTTTCGAATTGGAAATATAAAGTTACAATGATTATTTAAAAGAGCAACACGCAAGTTTATTGCTCGTTCTTCTGGGGATGAGACAGCTTTCCGAATGAGCGGTAAATTAAAAGAATGATAACTGTGACTATTCAAAAGTGCTTAAATTAGTTTTTCTATTTTTCTATTCTATTCTACTAACTTAAAATGAGTACTGACCAATTCGTTGTCATTGACGTCGTCGTCCCCGCCGGCCGACGGCACGTTAAGCCAATAGCTCGACGTCAATCGCTCGTGATTCGCTTCCCCTGTAGTATATATGATCCTGGCTGCGAATTGCGCTACCAGTGTGTCCGGTGGCGGTAAAACGGCTTCCACAGGATCGGTAGGAGGAGTACCTGGCTCCTCGGTCACTCTTAATTTTTGAAGGTGAGACGTAAGAAAGTTTGCGTTCGCTAGAGCGTCTTCGTCGGAATTTCTATCCTGCGAAGCAAAATCATTTATTTATTTTAAATTGTAAGAGATTTGTTTTTCATCATTAAAACGTATCAATCGATAATCCATTATAAAAAAAGTGACATACCCTTAACGTCTTCTCTAAGTTCATGATTGAATTATTTTCTTCTGACAGTGAATATCCCACCATATCGGCGATCTCGTTTATTGTCAGTGTCGACTTTCTTCCCACAGGACCTTCACCTTCCTCCACCTTCAAAATCCTGATCAACTCTAGGTACAAGCTTAAACATTCTGCTCTATCTTCCCCGGGACCTTCCAGACACCATTTTATATAGTTTCCAAGAGATTCTCTCCTTTTCGTCACAAATTTTCGGAACTGCTGAAAACCATACTCATGTTCTGTCAGCACAAAGTAAGCACGTAATACAGAAGAAGCTACTGCGCACGTTTTATTTGTAGACTCCAGGCAATTTGCTGTAGAATCCAGCAGTGTTGCTAAAGCGTCTTTATTCGGCAAAGAATTCGCAAGTAGCACGTCAGTAGCAGCACTTAAAGGAGTAAGGGTATTTTCCGCATCACAGAAGGCTACTAACGCATGAGCAGCAAACTCTTGTGCAGCTGATTGTTCGTTGAATCCATTAACCAAATTAAAGACTCCACATAAAGCATTTAAAACATCGGTGGATCGAGTACCACCACTGTTCATTGTATGTAGCACAGCACATTTCACAGGTGCGTGTGAAACCAAACATGCTAGAAATCCAAGTACCCTTGCTGAACTGGGCGTTGCAGGTTCTCCTGCTTTCAATTCTCTTGCTACAGCTCCAACAGCAGCTCTAGCAACAATTGCAGCAGTATTCGGTGCTAAATCAGCTATTTGTACGCAAACTCTTCGTAACATATGAACAACTGGTCTATACGTTGACATGCATATTATCTGGATCATATCTATTAAATCGTTCCCCAAAGCGTGCAAGTGTGCCGACCATAGACGTCTTTCGTTTGACGCATCAGCTAACTCTCTTTCAGTTGGAGGAGTCTTTGACTGCATTGGTAAGGGTAACGGCAAAAGTTCGGAAAAGACTAAAAGACCAGGCCCGAAAGTGTATGGTGCAGTCATTGTATATGATATTACTTCAGAGCAAAGGGACGTCCAAGGTCCTCGCCGTATGGAGTCGCCATCATTAGCGTCATCTGCAATAGGTTGAGCATAAGCAAGCAATGCTTTAACAGCAGCTTCAGCGGCCTTGGCCGCTGTTCTGTACCCGACTGATCCAACTGGATATGCTTTTGCGATTCCGTATGTCTTTAATAATATTGGTGCTGCAGTAAGATCTCGAAATCTTGGTCCACGACAGCGAACTACTCTAGCCAACATTTCATCTAGAAGTTTTAGACAAGGAAGCATTATTTGTGCTAACTGCAAGCCTTTAGCAGACACAAAGAATGATGTGTGCATGCTCGGTTGCTCGAAATGTATGGCTAAGCGGTCTAATATCCCAGCTAAATGAATAACGCCGTCGAATGAAAATAGTTGTAGAACATTATACTTATATTTAAGCTCAACGTATTCTTCAGTCGCAGATTCACAGTTGACTGATAAATTAGTATCATAATCCGATATACAAAAATGACGTAGGATCCTCAAACAAGTCATGAGTTCACCAGGCAAGTCTGGCGAATGTTCCAAACTAGCTTTCAAGATCTCAACACACTCAGCCATGTCATCTCCCGATAGAAGACTCTGTTTTTCTACAGGTTTCAAATAAGGGATCACTTCCTGCAAAACACTCGATACACTGGGCTCAAATCTATCGTGTTCTTTCGATACGTTGATGAGTCTTTGTCCATATTTCTTTAAGAATGGAACATTTGCTGAGAAGCGTACCACTGATACGATAAGTTCAATAGCATAACCTTTAGCAGGAGATTTTTGTTTCAGTTGTGATTCATTTTTATTTTTTGCCTTCAAATCATTTTCAAATACCTCCATAAGACATTCAGCATTATCCTCCATGACGATAACGTCAGGTACAGCAGTCTTTCCAATGCTTCCAAAGCTTAGACAGTATAAAGATTGCAATCTATCTATTAATTCATTCTCATCTGATTTTCCAGCTTGCAGGTCACTGATGGATTGCAAATAATACAAAGCCTTTAACCTGTACGCCATTTCTAGACCTAATATTTGTAAATCACTATAATTGCTTAGATCATGTGGATAGATAAACTCATCGGCATTTTGTTGGCAGTACGGTTGCGTTAACGTTTTAAAGAGAAGCTCGCTCATATGAATATTTTGATACAAAAAGTTGAGACCATTCTGAGAGTTAACTAATTCATATATCAAGTCATGGATGGGACTTGTAATCACTAAGTTGTTGCATGTTGTTGGACAAGTCAGTAAATAGAGACATACCTCCAATATGTGGTGAATGTTGAAAAACTCGAGTAGAATCTCATTAGAACATTCTTTATTAATATCGAATTGTGCTGAAGCTGGAAGGAACCGCTTAGGCTGGGAAAGATGGAAGCATTGGGTGCGATACATGTAAAGAATTTCTTCGAGCGAGTTGATAATAAATTCAGTGTCATTTTCTGTAAGTTCTGCATCTTCGTTTTGATTACTTTCAGCGGCTTTCTTATTAAAATTCAGAACTAAATCATGGAGTTTACCCAGTAACTCGTACATATTAAGTTTTTTAATTAATGCACTGACTGAAAATTTGATTCGTGCTAAAGGATTGCCCTGCATTATAGAAATAAGAGCTTGGTATCCGTTTTTCGGTTTATTATAATTTTCACTATCATTCTTATTGAATTTAGGAAAAATAACTTTCTGCATGAAATGATCAACCGAGACCTTTGATGACAAGCAAGCATTTAGTGCTTTTAGAATCATGAGTCTTATACTTAAAGCCATATATTCTTTTGAATATATATCAAACAAGAGCATTGGCATGTCTATGCCCATGTTTAACAGGACATTCATAACTTGTCCATTATGTTTATGGTTCAACAATGCTTCAGCTAAACGAATACCACATTTCATATGTCTTATTTTGTATGTAGGCTGTTGTTGGGCCAAAGCTAAATCAAAATTCAAACCAATTTTACAGAATGTGATCAACAAATTATAAATATCAACGAAGTCATCGTCATCTACTTTATTACTATACTGAAAAATTCGTAGAACAATATCAGTGTTTCTGCATAGATTTGTTAGAGGTACCAACAATTTCTCGCATTGGTGCACCCACTCTTCCCTAGACGTGTTATCAATCTCTGTAAATGTGTTCGAGAAAAATTTCTGCTCCCTCCTTTTAGCTGCTTTGGTTATATCCGATATCTTGAATAAATCGGAGTTAGCATCACACAGATCACTGAAAGTTGCATTAAGAACATCTTTGCTGTCTTCATTCTTTTTAACTGCAAGCAACTGAAGTTTATTTATGTATTCATATTTATTCCACTCGTCCTTGAATGGGTTGTAATATTTAATTATGTCATCAGTACCACAGTAGTCATTTGGATCGTACAAATCTTCTATATACGGTATTTCGGGATCATCGCAAATTTCTTCATCAGAAAGAATCGGTTCAAATTGCTCTGCATCCATAGACCTATCTTCATCGAGATTGCGGATTGGTGATTTAATTGTCTTGGCAATAGATGGAGTATCCAGAATTGGAACAGTTACCAAACTAGAATGCTGTTGTTCAACATAAGGAGGATTTTCCACCTCTTGTGATGGACTTCTAATAGAATTATTATGTCTGAAAGTTTCATGGTAGAACTCCACGCGAGGTATCTGCTTACTGCCTCGATCATAGTCGCCTCCATCTTCTGATCTGATTGAGTTTATAGGACTCGCCACCTCACCCCCTCTGGGAGATATAGGTCGTCGGCTACTCTCTCCAGGGGGAGTTCGAGGCTTTTTCCGGATATCGTCACGACTTGGCGATCCACTACCATAACTAGAACCCCTCATCCTACCATAAGGGGAATGTCTTTTCCGATCGTAGGATGTTTGTTTCTCATAGGAAGGTGCTCGTCGTTCGTAAGAGGACCCGCGCTTATCATAGGGTGACACTCGCTTCTCATAAGACGGAGCACGTTTTTCGTAAGGTATTTTTCTTTCATAAGATGGTGCTCTCTTGTCATATGGTGATCTGCGTTCATAGGATGCGGAATCTTTCTCGTAAGACGCACCACGTGATCGGTCATAGGAAATATCTCGATGACGCCTATAGTCATCCTTCTTATACGAACCTCTGTCCCAATCACGATCTGCAGACATTCCTCTCATTCTATCCCTATCAATGCTACGTGATCTTGACCGACTAAGCCCATGGTATTCTCCTTTGACTACAAACTCTCTATCCCTACTTCGAGATCTGGAATGTATGCGCTCCATTCTGTCCAGTTCTCTGCTGCGATCACGGTGTCTCGAAGACTCGCGACTACGCCCACGGTCAAGAGACCGTCTACGACTTCTCCCATCCCTTCTATCCCTATCCCTGTCTAGCTCAATTGAGCGGGGACTATGTCTTAACCGATCGCTCTCTCTTTCGCAGCTAACATCCACACCACCTTTTTCCCACTCATTATCATCGATATGGTGATATGACCTTGGATCTTTTGGAGGTTCATTATCATAATAATCATTCCTGTACATCTGATTATCATAATTATCTTGAGGATAATTATTTGGACCATAAGAGTCAGGGTTGCTTGCTGCAACATTGCTGGTATAAGATGGGATTGGATTGGAAGTCTCCTGATTCCAATCAACCTGTTGTTGGAGGTTTGCTGTTGGTACCGATGTAACCTCCCGAGCTATTGATGGTCTTTGTATGTTAGGGGGAGGGTTTGAACCAATTGGTGGTTCTGGTATGTTTTGGGTTAAGTTCCCATAGACAGCCAAAGTGATAGTGGTGTACCACCCTGGAATAAAAATATATAATGATGATAATATGAAAAACATATGTATCAAACTGTAAGAGAATTTAAGTACCATTGGACCCAACACTTCAGAGGTAGTGTGTGTGTTCAGAGGTAACTGTGTAACTGTGAATTAAGTAAATGATGTAAGCCATGAAAGAGAAGATGTGAAGTGTGAAAAATAGATAGATAAACGGAAAAAGATATGAAAAGAAGAGCAAGAAATAATTTAAAAGTATAGTGATGAACCACATGTTAACTTCTTATCATTATTAAAGTTGATGTAATAAATTACATCTTGAAAAATTAAAAATTTTACACAAGTAATGTTTATCATTTCATTTTTAGCTTTAAAGGTTTTTTATGTAATCCTCAGAACAATAATCCAAGTTGGAATAGTCAGTCTTTGTCAATTGTTAATATTGTGGTAAAAATATTGAAAATATAACCACATTCATAGTATCAGAACCTGTATTTCTTAAAAATACATTATAAATTAAAACAGAGGGGAAATAATAAAAACAAACTGTCAGTCGATTACAATTCACAATATTGACAATAATGTCTGAAATCAGTCCTATAACATAATGGTAGTGTGTGTATTGTTTTATTTATTGACTATCTACTTGCCCTGGCTTTGTACGGGTGTACATGTATACCTTCCTCTTGAATCACTCTATCTATTAAAAAAAACTGCTTCAAATCCATTGCATAGTTTTAAAGATTTAAGCATACATAGTGACGGACAGACAGTGACTGTGTTTTATAATATGTAATGATTCAATGTATATTTATGCATATTTTTATAAAAATATTACCATTTTGCACTATACTCTATCTGTGCAATTTTTGTAAATAGGTGTACAAAGCTTTTGGTTCACACATTAATATATAGATACTTATTAGTATTTTTTTTATACTTATTAGTAGGGATACAATTAAGTTCTATTATGTCATAATAACTTTAATCTCAGGAGAATTCACACAGTGCTATCTAGACCCAAGTTAAATAGCTAAAGCTTACTTTATAGGTACTAGATAACTGATAGAAATAAATAGAAATATTTTATTTCGTAAATACCTAACATATTATACATAGAAAACACATAAACCGATACAAAGAATAATACACATGAATGATTAATAATTATTTTGGGAGGAATTGAACCCACAACCATCGGAAGTAAGGTGGTGTACTAAACAGCTCGACCACTGAGATGGTCAAGTAGAAGGTAGACAGAAAAACAGATGGGCTGATGATATAAAGAATGATGCAGTTAAATATTGGATGCAAACAGCAATGGATAATGAGGGTTGGCGGAGGATGGAGGCTTTTACTCGAGGATGCCACATAAGGAGAAATAAAATAAAGCAAAAGTATAATAATTATATGTTAGAAATATGTGTTATTTGTGAGAATAAAGCTGCAAGAATAACATTGATGGCCTTGGTGGGCCAGTGCATTAGCACACCGCATATAAAGCAGTAAAACAGGAACTAACCTCTAAGCACCAGCCCATCTGTCGGTATCCGTGATTGCTCATGATCATTCCCACATTCCATGTGAATCTGACCATTCTGACAGTAATCTATACTGCCCAGAGCTTCGAATGTTGTCGCTCCAGGTTTACTCAAGTCATTTACGAAGAAATCTATATGAAACTTCGTAGGATTGGTGGCTCCGAGGCGGACACCGCCCGGGAAATCGCCTTCAACTCGTGCACCCAACGGTATTATACGGATTTCTCTCACAAAAACAGACTTTGGAAACTGCACGAGATCCAAATTCAGCTCCTGAAAGGTTATTATTAAGTCAAACACAGAACTTCAATGAAATACAATAAGATTCTATAGTAAATACAAAATTCACAAACCTCGCTGGTATCATGTGAAAAAGTATCAAAGAATAAAAGGTCGGGTTGATCTGAGGCCGACATGTCTTAGTTTTAGAAGTTATAAATATTAAGAACTCATATTTAAAGTCAATTTTAAAAACTGAATTATTAATAATTACGACAGCATAAAAGCAAGCCTAGCAAAAAAGACAAGTATAGCTTTTAATAGAGATGTGTCAACTCGAGTTAACTCGAGTTGCGCATAATTCGAGTTAACTCGAGTTGAATTCTGCCAACTTGAGTTGGAAGAATTCAACTGGTAAATGAATGAATCAAGTGAAAGAACGAGAGCATGATTCTATCATCGAACTGACAATGACATGCAATTTTCCGATCATTTCATATCATACAATTTTCACTCGTCACAAATATTGATTTGAGGTTGTTACCAATTATTTTTCGCATATTCATCCGATTATGTTATCAATAAAATGATTATGCGTTCCATAAGTCCTTCCGCGACTTTAAAGTGCCATTTCTACTCGCCCCCTAAAGTTCGGTGAAGCTTTCAAGGCTAGCTGCACCCAAAAACATTAGAATTATTCGAAAAAATAAAAAATAAAATTTTTGTTCCAGATAACTCAAGTCAACTCCAGTTAACTCGAATTACCTGAATTTTAACTCGAGTTAACTCAAGTCATGTTTATTACGAGTTAGCACATCTCTAGCATATAATGTACATAGGCAAGTTTTTGACAATTTTGACATTGACACTACTCTGAATATTCACCACAGACTAAATAATGACATAACAGCACAGAATATTATTGACAATAACAAGACAAGTTTCACTTTGTTTCCCAACAAGATTGTTCTGTCTAGTAATCATAAATAGTAATTTAATTTAAAGATGTCATCACTTCACGTTATTATGAGTAATGTAAGACATTTTTGATAGATGAAATTTTAGACAAATTTGGCATTGTAATTATCAGTAAAGAGAACCCTACCTTTTCATTTCGTTGTTTTCCTAAATTTCTTATTCCTTGACAATAACTTATCCAATAAGTAAGTTATCCAAAGCAGGTACATTAATTTAATTAAAAAAAAAATCGAGTAATTATGTGTAACAGGTACCGCAAATTATAAAATAAAAAGTAACACCATTTCCACGCGGTCTTTTCGGCAACTATAATCGTTAATTCCTGGTGAAGTGGAGAGGTCGTATTGTTTGTTAAATAGGACTAATGACCCTATTGTTAACAATCTACCATGCCGGGTAAACCTAGGCATACGAGTTGGCTTCTCCTTCTATTGTTTCCACTTAACCTAATAACTTTACTATCATACATTAATCTTTTTGTTAATGAATAATTAAAGATAGGTACATTTATTATTATTACGAGTCATTCTATACTCGTCAAACTGTAGAACATTTTGTTGGCATGATATTTAGCTGGTTCTTGCCACTTGCCAACTCATATATTAAAAAAAATACATATAGAGCTAACAAATATTCACGAGTATAAATACATTGTGCAGGAATCAAATTCGCTAACATTTAAGGTGTGTAATAAGCGAGGTCGTCAACATGTTTTGTTATTTAAACGACAACGTACATCAATTGATACTTTATAATTTCGATACGCTTTTAAAATATATTTAGATTTTCCTTATTAAGTAGGTACCTACATTGAAAAGTTTAATGACAGTGCTTGGTGGTACCAGGCGATACGAGGAAAACTTATAGATGTAATCACACGAACTGATCTTGGAAATATTTAGAGGTGAGTTCAAGGAGTTTACCTTCGAGTTCATAATTAATTTAAGATAAAAAACATAATGTATGTATCTCAATAAAATTAGCGCGAAGTCTCTCGACATAGAAGATATATAAGTAAAATTACAGGATAAGAGGCTTGACAACGTAGTCATTGAAAGAGTGGTATAATGAGTGTCACGTGATTACGTGATGTCCGTATTGTCAGCAAATCAGCTTGTTTCCAATTCCAATATAATAAAAAGACAGTTGCAACTTATTAAAAATTATAATATTATAATATTATTTTCTTTTTTTTTTCTCCTCCATCTTTGGCTTTGCCTTCGCATTTAGCCATTATTATTTCCTTTTTGAGGGAACATATTATGTATTATTACATATTGTAACAATATTGTACGATAATATATATAACCTAATGACTAACATATGTACACGTATGTTGTGATCTTCATACTCGCCAGCCACTTATAAGCAATTTTTTATTATAAAAAAAGTATGTTATTTGTAATTTTTAACATAATATATTATTTTATTTTATCCTTTTCGTATCTATTTATTTTATAAAGTTTTAAAGTAGATTGGTCGTGATGGGGATGGGTAGTATTAGTATTATATAATACTAGCTGTCCCGGCAAACGTTGTTTTGCCATATAAATTAATAACGCTATAAAAAATAGGGGTTGATGATAGAAGGGTGAAAATTTAGGATTTTATGTATTTTTGTATGTTGTATCATAAAAAAATAGAAACTAAAAATTGTGTAAAAAATATAAAAAAAATTAGGGGTGGACTACCCCTAACATTTAGGGGGATGAAAAATAGATGTTGGCCGATTCTCAGACCTACTCAATACGCTCACAAAATGTCATGAGAATCGGTCAAGCTGTTTCGGAGGAGTATGGGAACGAAAACTGTGACACGAGAATTTTATATATAAGATAGTATAATATATATAATTCTGGACAATACACACAGCACCATCTAGTCCCAAGCTAAGCTAACTTAGGGATAGATAATAGATAGATAAATACATTTTTTTTAAATAAATACATTCATAATAGACATAGAAAACATATAATTGTTTATATCGGTCTGGTACCAATACAATCATACTCACGAATATTTGCACCGTGCGAGGAATCGAACCCGCGACCGATATACATAACTATTGGAAAAAAGCAAATCCCTTCCCCTTCTTTATGAGCACAGATAACTGCTTATGAGTAATACAGGTAGGTAGCAATAATTTAAGTAGGCATTTTTAATTTAGATACCGGAGATGGAGCTGGCTACGCGACGTGTCGTCCGCTAGCCGCTACCTGCCAACCACCTGTGCGAGTTGTGTTGCCAGCTACATGCCTCTCCAACGCACACAGGAAAATTTACCAGTTAAAAAAACATACTATTTATTTATTTAATTTATATATGATTTGACAGACTCGGTGGTCTAGTGGTTTAATACATTGTGTTATTTCCGATGGTCGCGGGTTCGATTACTCGCACGGCACAAACGTTTGTATTCATGAGTATGATTGTTTGTGTCGGTCTGGGTGTTTTCTATAAAAAAATATCTATGTATTTGTATCAGTTGTCTAGTACACATAACTCAAGCTGTAGCTAGCTTAACTTGGGTCTAGATGGTGTCGTGTGAATTGTCCTGAGATTATTATTATGATATATATTTAGCATTTGTATGTATATATGTTTAGTATTCATAGAATATAACTCTCTTTTCATAGTGCGCCACCTATCTTTCCCTTACATATGTACATAGATAACCTGGGAGATTATTAAGTATTGGGACTTCTATCGCCCAGGTTATCTGTAAGAGATTGCTTAGAGAGATATTCTTATTTTATTACTGTCATTATTTGTTTTTTTATGCACAATAAAGAGTCTTATTATTATTGTTATTAATACTAATATATCATAGACAACTGTTGTTTTTTTTATTCACGTTACGTGACGTATTTTTGATAAAGTTAAATGGAATGTACCTATATAATGTATATAATATTATTATTACCTATTATTATATTATACAATACAATGGAAAGTATAATATAATGCTAGGTAATAATAATCTAGGTTCCGAATATGATTTTGTCCCATTCGGTGTCGAGACCCTTGGTCCGTGGGGTCCTAGCGCTATAAGACTTTTCAAAGAAATAACGAAAAGGTTAGTCGACATCACAGAAGACCGAAGAGCTGGCAGCTACCTTGGACAAAGAATTAGTCTAGCTATTCAAAGAGGGAACGCAGCCAGTATCTTCGAAACTTTGCCTAAAGGGACCTAAAGGGACTTTTAATAATATATTTTAGTTATATTATAATTTTTAAGCTTTTTAATTTTAGGTTCTTAGTTGTACAATTAAGTTATGTATATTAACATTAGAAGACATAATGCTTGAAATAGTTTTATATCTTAAGTAAATATAGAGTAGAAAATTCATTATTCAAAGAAACTTAAATTTAAGGACTTATAAAACATATTCATGAACACAAATGTTTGCACTGTGCGAAGAATTGAACTCGCGACTAGCTAAGTAAAGAGGTATGCTAAGCCGCTGGACCACTGAGGTCGTTAATATAGCTAAATTTGAATAGAAGAAGTTAATTGTTAGAGAAGGGATCATTATAATAATCTTCTACATTTACATTTGTTTTTTAGTTGGTGCTGTAGTTTATTTTAACTAACTCCTCCTGCGACTTCGTCCGCGTGGAATTTAACTTTATTTTTCTAAAATAAAAGTAGACTAAGGAACTAAAAATTATTTTGTTCGTCTTAATTTATTCGTTCCATTAGGTGCTGATAGGTTCAAACTAATACATTTACATCGTGCATCATTCCTTATTTTATCCCCATGGGGGTTGAATCTATCAAAATCCTATTTAAGCGAACGTCTTCAACATAGTAGCTCCAATCAATCAGTCAATAACAGTTCAATCAGTTGAAAATCTAACAAGATTTATACAACATTTTATCCTCTATTTTATCCCCATAGGGGTAGAATTTATCAAAATCCTTCCTTTCTTAGGGGATGCCTACGTCATAGTAGCTTTATGCATGCAAAGTCTCAGCCCGATCGGTTTAAAATTGACAAAGTTTCATACAAACTTTCATTCCCTATTTATCCCCTTGGGGGTACAATTAATCAAAATCTTTTCTTAGCGGATGCTTACGTCATAAAATCTACCTGCATGCCAAATTTTATCCCAATCCGTCCAGTGGTTTGGTCTCTGCGTTGGTAGATCACTATGTCAGTCACCTTTGAGTTATATATAGAGATAGATGTTGTAGATAACATATTGGACTTCAATTGTTTGTTAATTATTGTTGCATTTATATATTGTTACGACAGTATAATGTAAACGCAACGAGAAAGTTATACTGCCAACACCTTATATTTTTTAAACACAACAAGAGAGCTTATATTACAGAGAGACAAACAAGAAATACAAATCATTTAGTGCTGTGTGTCCTGATATTTCATTGGACAATCTAGTGACAGTAAACTTTCGCGTTTATAATATTAATAAGATGTAGAAGATGTAGGGAAGTGTCATTATTTAAATTAAACCCCTTGAGTGATTATGAAATATTAAAAAATATCTTTATTCTTTACTAAAACATCGTAAATTCAGGTCCGTTAATAACTGGCAAAGATTTCATGTTAATTGAGTAAAACATACACAAGTTGTAAAAAAAAAACGAGTTGAATTGGGAACATTAAAGGAATATTTCCCCCACAAAAGAGTTTATTTTGTCATTTGGAAAAAAGTACCTTTAATCTTAAATTTTACCAAAACATTGTAACTTAAAAAAAATTGTTAAGTTTATTTATGACTGTTGAAAATATCATGTTAATCGGTTTATTATGTTATACATACACAAATTATAGAAAAATAAGCTGAACTAAGAATTCCGTATTTGAAGTCGGTTAAACGTAAGCAATATTTCCCCATAGAAGAGTTGATTATGACATTTAAAAAAAGTATATGTTTATATTTTAGTAAAACATCGTAACATTAATTTCATTTATAACTACCAAAGATATCATATAAAAAGGTTATACATAACATACAAAAGATAGAAAACTGAGTTGAATTAACAACATATTTGAAGTTGGTTAAACGTAAGCAATATTTCCCCACAAAGGAGGCTTTAATCGCGGTGTTGCCACCCCAGCCAGAGCCGGCCGGCGCGCGGTAGTCGCGTCCCAGTCGCAAAACTGCGTTCACGTTTCTACGTCGTGGTCCTACCTCAAACACGTAATAAAAACTTTCTTAACTTTCGCACGTTGATTGTGTGTGCTGTTGTTCTGTTGTTGCCAGTGAGTGTTATATGTTGATGAGTGTTGTGTGAAGATGCGGGCCGCTGTAGCGGCGTTGGTCCTCGCCCTGGTTGCGACAACAGCGGCGCAGATTGACCCCAAACACCAGGACTTATCAGGTATTTAAGAAAGAGAAAATATTAACCGTTTGATGCAAAAGAACGTATGTCTACACTGCTATAACAAAATAATAACCGTCTGTTTTTTAAATGCGAACGATGCAAAAGAACGTATATCTACACTGCTATAATATAATGCATTTGAAAATTAAAAACTGTGTATTTCTAAATAGCGGAAATCCTTTTATAATAAACTTTTTCTAATTATAAAATGTGATATTTGAATAAATTTAGTTACGATTCTATCTAAGGCATTGGAAATCTTAATTCTGTGGGTAGGTGTACCTTTTAAATTCAATGACACTATCGTTGAAAACGGGTTTCGAAGTAGTCCATGCGGATTCACATAGCTGTAAAATATATTTCTTGTGCCTTGTTTTATACGTTTGATTATGTGAATTTGTATTAATGAAAAAAACATCGAATCATTTGAGCAAACGAACACTACGTTTTAAGAACTGGGACTATTTGACAATTAAATTAAATCTGTGCAACCTGGATAACAGCATTTAAAAAAAAAACTCTTTATACCAATTGTTAGGTACGTTACAAAAGAATCATTAAAAGTAAATTATGTTAGTTACATGTAACTGACTAAGTGAAATTAAACTTAAAATTCTTTACTATTTAATGATTAATGATATGGGTATCATTTATCATTAAATATAGATTTAAAAATAATACTAATTTTTCACGATTTCCAATCTATTTCCTATTAATGAAATGAGCTAATTTTTTAAAGATACACATTTAATGAGTTTAAAATACTTTATTAGATCAGCGTTGCAGATTTCGTTGCCCATCGTGATGTAATTAAACAAGCAGGAATTAACCAACGAAGGGGGAACCCCGTGGAGGTCGACTAACATGGAACATGCTAGCAATGGGAACACTAGACCCCGTTACTAACATTTCCCTCCCCCATTCAATATTTGTTAGGGAAAATAAAGCAGTGACACGACGCGACCCGATTATTATTGGAAAGTAATGTTCATTATTCAGGATATGTAATAACTTCATATTAGAGCAAGAGCCCACGACGGCCAGACATACGTCATTTTAGTAAACTTGAAAGTTCTCGTATGTGTGTCCCCAACACAGGTAAGAACGATCCCCAAACATGAAACCTGGATCGTGGTTCCTTTGGCAGGTACCAGGTAACAAAGGTGTAAAAAAAATCATATCAAATTCGTTATTTTAAGAAACTCCATATTTTCATATATTGTTCGTAGCATTATTATAACTTGCGCTGCTCATTGCCAGACACTTAGTGTGGTTCCAACCCCCCGCCGGACCCCCCTAAACTATACTATTTTAGGAATAAACTTACGTCATTTTAATAAAGCTGAACTTTATATATATTATTGAGAGAACTATTAAACTGAGTTTCCTAAATTGCCAGACAGTTTTCTTGGTTCCTTATCCTACCAGACTCATTGAAACCGTATATTGGGTAACAACGGTGCATACAATTTCATATCAAATTCGTTATTTTAAGAAACTCCATATTTTCATATATTGTTCGTAGCATTATTATAACTTGCTTTGCTCATTGCCAGACACTTAGTGTGGTTCCAACCCCCCGCCGGACCCCCCTAAACTATACTATTTTAGAAATAAACTTACGTCATTTTAATAAAGCCAAAATTTATATATATTATTGAGAGTTCTCTCAAACTGAGTTTCCTAAATTGCCAGACAGTTTTCTTGGTTCCTTATCCTACCAGACTCACTGAAACCGTATATTGGGTAACAATGGTGTATACAATTTCATATCAAATTCGTTATTTTAAGATGCTCCATTTTTTCACATATTGCTCGTAACAGTATTATAACTTGCTCTGCTCGTTGCCAGACCCTTAGTGTGGTTCCAACCCCCCGCCGGACCCGCCTAAACTATACTATTTTAGAAATAAACTTACGTCATTTTAATAAAGCCAAAATTTATATATATTATTGAGAGTTCTCTCAAACTGAGTTTCCTAAATTGCCAGACAGTTTTCTTGGTTCCTTATCCTACCAGACTCACTGAAACCGTATATTGGGTAACAATGGTGTATACAATTTCATATCAAATTCGTTACAGTTAACTTTCTCTGCTCGTTGCCAGACCCTTAGTGTGGTTCCTACCCCCCGCCGGACCCCCCTAAATTACACTATTTTATAAATAAACTTACGTCATTTTAATAAAGCTGAATTTTATATATATTATTGAAAGAACTATTAAACTGAGTTTCCTAAATTGCCAGACAGTTTTCTTGGTTCCTTATCCTACTAGACTCATTGAAACCGTATATTGGGTAACAACGGTGTATACAATTTCATAACGAATCATTCATAACGAATTTGATAAGGAACCAAAAAAACTGTCTGGCAATTTAGGAAACTCAGTTTGAGAGAACTCTCAATAATATATATAAATTTCAGCTTTATTAAAATGACGTAAGTTTATTTATAAAATAGTATAGTTTAGGGGGGTCCGGCGGAGGGTTGGAACCACACTAAGGGTCTGGCAACGAGCAGAGCAAGTTATAATACTGTTACGAGCAATATGTGAAAAAATGGAGCATCTTAAAATAACGAATTTGATATGAAATTGTATACACCATTGTTACCCAATATACGGTTTCAGTGAGTCTGGTAGGATAAGGAACCAAGAAAACTGTCTGGCAATTTAGGAAACTCAGTTTAATAGTTCTCTCAATAATATATATAAAGTTCAGCTTTATTAAAATAACGTAAGTTTATTTCTAAAATAGTATAGTTTAGGCGGGTCCGGCGGGGGGTTGGAACCACACTAAGGGTCTGGCAACGAGCAGAGCAAGTTATAATACTGTTACGAGCAATATGTGAAAAAATGGAGCATCTTAAAATAACGAATTTGATATGAAATTGTATACACCATTATTACCCAATATACGGTTTCAGTGAGTCTGGTAGGATAAGGAACCAAGAAAACTGTCTGGCAATTTAGGAAACTCAGTTTAATAGTTCTCTCAATAATATATGTAAAGTTCAGCTTTATTAAAATAACGTAAGTTTATTTATAAAATAGTATAGTTTAGGGGGGTCCGGCGGGGGGTTGGAACCACACTAAGGGTCTGGCAACGTGCAGAGCAAGTTATAATACTGTTACGAGCAATATGTGAAAAAATGGAGCATCTTAAAATAACGAATTTGATATGAAATTGTATACACCATTGTTACCCAATATACGGTTTCAGTGAGTCTGGTAGGATAAGGAACCAAGAAAACTGTCTGGCAATTTAGGAAACTCAGTTTGAGAGAACTCTCAATAATATATATAAATTTTGGCTTTATTAAAATGACGTAAGTTTATTTCTAAAATAGTATAGTTTAGAGGGGTCCGGCGGGGGCTGGAACCACATTAAGTGTCTGGCAATGAGCAAAGCAAGTTATAATAATGCTACGAGTACGAGTTTCTTAAAATAACGAATTTGATATGAAATTGTATGCACCGTTGTTACCCAATATACGGTTTCAATGAGTCTGGTAGGATAAGGAACCAAGAAAACTGTCTGGCAATTTAGGAAACTCAGTTTAATAGTTCTCTTAATAATATATATAAAGTTCAGCTTTATTAAAATGACGTAAGTTTATTCCTAAAATAGTATAGTTTAGGGGGGTCCGGCGGGGGGTTGGAACCACACTAAGTGTCTGGCAATGAGCAGCGCAAGTTATAATAATGCTACGAACAATATATGAAAATATGGAGTTTCTTAAAATAACGAATTTGATATGATTTTTTTTACACCTTTGTTACCTGGTACCTGCCAAAGGAACCACGATCCAGGTTTCATGTTTGGGGATCGTTCTTACCTGTGTTGGGGACACACATACAAGAACTTTCAAGTTTACTAAAATGACGTATGTCTGGCCGTCGTGGGCTCTTGGGCTATATATTTATGTATAAAAATTATGTGTCACGTTGTTTGTCCGCGATGGACTCCTAACTACTGAACCGATTGCAAATTTGATTTGCACCGACTTGAAAGATAGGATAGCTTACATCTCAATTTATAGTCGCAATGTTCTTTTATTCAAGAACCTTAGCCATAGCAACGCGTGGCAGGGTCTACTAGTATATATATCGAAAAGAATGATTATAATTCAATACTTACTTCCTTACTATAATAATATTATAAATGCGAAAGTAACTCTGTCTCTCTCGCTTTCACGCTAAAACCACTGAACCGATTTAAATGAAATTTAGTTCACAGATAGTCTAGACCCTGACAATGGACATAGGCTACTTTATAATGCAAAACAAGGGTTGAAAGGTTATATGAAAGTATCGTCATTTTAGCGGACGAAGTCGTGGGCGTAGCTAGTTAATATATAATTGAATAATCATAAAACAATGGCTGGCAGAATGTCACTCGGGTCTTTGAACTGCGAGCGTAATACTCGTATGCAGCATAGACAAATTCAAATAAATCCTAGATACGTACAATGGTTGTAGCAATTTGTTGAGCAGAGACAATTTGTTATCTTCTTTTTGATCTCGTTCAGAATTGAATATTTCGCCTGCGTAGAATTAAACTTTTTTGTTATTAAAATAAATACAATTTCTATAATAAGAGTAGCCTAAATTACTCATTATAATATTAGCTATCTGCGAGGTAAGGTTACGTTAAAATCAGTCCATCTGTTTTAGAGATTTGTTCAGCAGAGACAATTTGTTATCTTCTTTTACAATTGAATATTTATGCTCCGAGTAATAAAACAATATTGAAATATAATAATACTAACTGTTATACGCGATTTCGTCTGAGTGGAATTGTAACTTTTTTAAATTAAAATAAATAAAATTTTTATAACAATAGTACCCTAAAATACTTCTTATAACATCAGCTATTTCGAGTAAAAGTTACGTTAAAATCTGTTCCGCTGTTTCAGAAATTAGCAAGACTAAAACAAACAGACATATAGTCAATATTTTTGGAATTAATTTTTTTATGTATTACTTATATTTAGTT